TTCTCAATTCTGAAACTGTGTCAATATATATTTCATTATTAGATACTTAATTCAAATTGTCATAATTATTTCGTATTTCGTTCTAAATTAAAAAATACTTACATTGAAAATATAAATGTCAACCAAAAAAGGATGTAAAATTGCAAATGTTTTATTTTAATCAAAACAGGTTTCCGATAGTTCTTTCGAAAGTGCGCTAAACAATTGTCGGTTTATATATAATTGTAAGTCAATAGTTTATAAAGTAGAATAACGTATCAGTTTCATACCATTGTTATTCTTTCTCTGTAAGAAGTTATTTAATCAATAAATAATAGTCTTTATTTACCAAAAACATATACATACCTACACTGTATTTGTATTAACATTTTTCATACTTACATATATTTTTAATACTCATTATTGTTAATGGGTTAACACAAAGCGATAAGCAGCTACATATAGAATTTAAAATAGTATTTTATTCCAAATCATTATGAGCATGAGTCGTTCGTGGATTTCCAGAAAAAAGATAAGCCGAGCAAACTTTTAATTGAATCAAAGCATGGAATGACATGTGACTTTGGTCCACTTTGATTAGTAGTATATTTTACGTAAGCCGTTTATAATGCGTCATTGCATCCTCCGCCTATTAATCGACACCTTGACAAACATGACGTGCTTTTTTTGACCTTGTATCACATATATCGTCTAACCGTAAAGTCAAATTGGTTATTAATGAACGCAATATTGACGAAACGTCTTGGAGTATTGCCTCCAAATCCTCCTTTCCTATGTTGTTTCGCTTTTGAATTTCGCTGTGGCTCCTTGTCGTGTTCCGAGTGACGAAATTATTTGTAACGTTGAGGATTGTCTAGTTAAAAACAACGTAAGAAAGGAGGATTTGGAGGCAAAACGCCAAGACGTTTCGTCAACATTGCATTCAAATAAACAGCCCAGACCGAATCTTTCACGAGGTAGATATTAATGGTTCAATTTGTCGAATGTGTCAAGATAATTACGTTATTTTTATAATTTTCGTTGTATAAACTTTTTTAGAAATAAGTGCGCATGCGACATCCATCTCGATGAAAATGTGACGATGAAGTCAATGATGGAGCAAGCACCCAAATATGATAGGTAGGTACTTATTATTCGCTCTCGCCTAAAAAAGGCCTGAGTTATAATATTCAGGGATGAATTCATATCCATAGCCGCACGCCATATTGTAGAAGCAAACAAATTCGAGTGAATTCACAATATGAGGGTAGAACCCCAGTCTCGTCCATTCGCCCGGTAATGGAAAAGAAAAAGCGGAATTAAATCATGTAATTGATCTCTCTTCATGATACATCCTGTAAAATACAAATAAACTGGCAACTTTATGGCGGCGTTTAAGGCTCTGCAGCCTCGCATTTATGTAGATACTAAAATCCAACTTTTCACACGTTTTCCAATATAATCGAAATGGCCAGTTGGCGAACGAGTTTGTGCTTGGCACAGCTATAGCAACTGTACCACTATAAAGTAACGTTGGAATCCTTTCCATGGCCAAGAGCGAAGCCAGGAAGCTTAGCGTCCTTGCTAAGCTTCCTGGCTTCACCCTTGCCCATGGATTCAATGTATCAGCTGAAATTCATACTGGAAATAGGACTATTCCAAGTAGCTGGAAACTGTCAATGTAGATACGTCCTGACAGGTAGGAGTCACTTCAAAGGGGTTGTGGACAGAGATGGGCGTTGAATGGACAAACTAGTCGAATCAACCGTTCAACCGTTCACGTCCAATCGATATTTCTACGGTCTACCGTTCTTCGGTTAACTAGTAGAATTCGTAGACGGCTAAACGGAGAGTCCATGCGTTAATCAACGCACAGCGCCACGAGACGACGCGCGAACTTAGTCGAATTATGCGTAGACTTACATTGACAAATTATTTTGAACTTTAATTCAGTATTGTAAGTTGATATTTCAAGACGTGCGATGAAGTAAGATAGGTCTGTTATGCTATTTATTATTGCAATAGTGCATTCAATGTAGAAAAAGGATGACGGTGTAATTAATTCGCTAGAGCGAGAGAGAGGCGTTGCGCCCGTTGTGACGCAATGCGCTTGAATCTATCGGAATTAAACTTGATTGTAGTGTGTTAACAGCGTCGATAGCCGCACTCATGAAAATACGGGGATGCTTGTTTCGTTTACCTATTTTTTTAAATATGGCTTGTTTGATTTAGTAGTACATGTGATACATTGCGCGCAAGGTTACGGTTTTTTACCTATTGACATTTGCAACTTCTAATAAGTTGTGTTAGGCTCATTATTATTTTAATTTATTGTATGACTAGTACATACTAGCATTAGTTGTATGTATGTATATACATAGTTCAACAAATCAGACAGATGTATATTATGCATTGTTTTTAAATGGAATGTAAACATTAGAGGTCGGAATAGTAAACTTTGTAAATAGGTAATGATGTCAGGACGTAGTGAATTGTGCCATCATTTTGAAAAAGACGCTAGCAGTGGAAAAGCGATTTGCAATGTATGTAAAGAAAAATTGGCCTATAAATCAACGACCGCAAATTTGAAAAGTTATTTGCGAAGAAAGCATGTGTCAATTTTTGCATCTCTGTCCCCGAGTGGGATACAGGTACCGCCCACACAGACCAGTTCAACCAACCAGCCTGACACAGCAGGTCCTCCGGATAGTAATTTACCAAACACGTTTATTTAATATTACTGGCCCTAGTGAGAATGCCAATGATGGTGCGAAACGGCAAAAATTAATGGACACCTTTATCAATAAAAAAATTAGTTTGGAACAAAAAACAAATTAATTTAGATTTGCTCGATCTGTGCTGCGACAGCTTTCACCCGTTTTCTATTGTTGATGAGAGAGCGTTCAAAAAATTTTGTTGTTGGATACCCGGATATCAGCTGCCTACCAGAAAGACATTGTCTAACTCTATCATACAAGAGGTCTACACTAAATTATCCGCCTCTATTCAAGTTCAGTTGCATGAAGAGGTGCAGACAATTTGTTTAACAGCAGATATGTTTACTTCTTTAAAAACAGAAAGTTACATCGCTCTCACTGGACATTATTTATCCCAAGATCTAAAATTAAAAACAGTGTTATTAGGGTGCTGTTTATTTCCGGGACAACACGGCCGAAAACATTGCAACCGAGATTCAGTCTTCGGTGGAGAGGTTATGGACTGCGGGACAAAGTTAATTATATGGTCACAGACAACGCTGCCAACATTGTGAAGGCAGTGAAAGAAGTATTGGGCTGGAAGCATTTTGGGTGCTACGCACACAGCCTTAATTTAATAGTAGAATGCCCTTCAAATTATTAAGTCCCAAATTGACGAAGTCAAAAAAAAGCTACAAAAGTATCTAGTGCAACATAGCAAGGAACCAAAAAGACTCATACAAGCTGTAGACACGCGATGGAATTCAACTTATTTTATGTTGAAGAGGTTTGTAGAGCTCGAAGAGGCCATTCGTTCGATTTTGGGATTTGTTGATCGAAATTTGCCAATAATCAATCCAGAAGATTGGCAACTATACACACAAATTTGCACGATTTTAAAGCCGTTTGCAGAGGCGACTTGCTCAATGAGCGGTGAAAAGTACATCACAGGAAGTTCCGTCATAATAATGACGCGTTGTCTTAAAGAAGCCTGTCAGAAACTAATTGACAGAACTGATTTATTAGCACACACTTCTAATACTGTTCTTCTGCTCAAGTCAGGTTTAGATGAGCGTTTTAGATTAATCGAACACAGTGGCACATTTGCTTTGACAACCTTCTTGGACCCGAGATTCAAAGTGAAAGGGTTTGCGGATAAAAGTGAGGCCATGAAGACTAAGGAAAGAGTCCGCAAACTTATGGCTGCCGTGTTAACTAAAGATAACAATACCGCAACGCGTACCGTTCTACTGACCACTACGCGGACCCAGATGATTTAAGTCCTTGGAACATTTTTGACAAGATGGTGGCATCAAGTAGGAAGTGGATCATTGTATGTATCAGTCTGACGAATTTATACCCAGGAAGGAACAGGCGGGAAATTTATCCTGCCCACTAGAATGGTGGAGAAAACCAATTCGTATATCCCAATCTAAAAAAAAATTATGTTACACATTGTAATATAGTAGCCACATCAATTCCATGTGAACGAATGTTTTCTGAAACAGGACTCATTATTAATGAAAGACGTACAAGGCTGAGTACCAGTAAAGTGGAGGAAATTATGTTTATAAATGTGAATTCACCAGAAGAAAGATTTAAATAAAAAACATATAAATATGTAACATAAACTCGTATTGATAATTACATATTATAAAAAACAAAATTAGAAAAAAAAAGAGATTTAGAATCATGTGGATAAAATCAGTTGATCTTTTAAATACGCCTGAATGTTCAGCCAGTCCTATGCCTGGGAAAGTATGAAGGGTAGATCAACATTAAATAATGCACAATTTATAACATTATTTTTTATTTCATATACAAATAGGTGTAAGTAAAAAATATGTTAAACATTGGAAATGAATTAATTTCCAAAAATACATAGTTTATATTCTCAAAAGCTACTTTAGTTTATTCAGTTAAACACGACTTATGAACGAAAATCAACTGAAGTTGAATGATCGACTAGTCGACAAATTTAAGTAGTTGATCGACTAGTTGATCGTCGACGATGGACGATTGCGTTTCGTTAACGGAAAACGCATCGACGCCCCATCTCTGGTTGTGGAGAATAATTACGCCAGCATTTTGGTAGCGTTATATCTGATATTGACGATGCGAAAGATCTGGTCGATCCGGGCCGGTCTGGTTCGATGGAAAAACGAAATCAAATGTGTTTAGATTTAAAAGAAACCGAAGACCATACGTGTAAAGGTTACATTCGTGAGCACTTGCCATAAACGGCCCATTCACTACCTGCATGCCAGCCCGCTGCGAAAACAGGAGACTGCTCACACCACAGACATATCTAGATATATATCTGTGGCTCAAATACTATCCGGACTGCAATGCAGGGTAATGAATGTCACACAATCTTAGAGGCAATATTTATTATTCAATACTGGCAACTCCATAAAGTTAAAATTTAAATGTCAGTGTTGTCGTCAATCTTTCCAGGCTAACCGGCGTTGTATTTAATTTGTTGTATGTTAGCCGTTCAGAACACTTTCATAACCAAGTTTTTCGCTGGTGTATACAATGGCGGAAGATCTCCCGGACACAGAGAATACTCAGACGCAAACGCAAAACTCCCAAGTGGAATGGAGCCAAAATAATTCTCCGTCTATCATACCCACTATTTGGGGAAGGCTGTATTCCACAAAAGTGTCTTTGATCGGCGGTGGCTGCTGGCGAAAGACTGACCGGGGCCGACCAGAGTATCATGGTAATATAAAAGTTACTAAGTTTTAGTGGCACTAGAGTTGCTGGTGAGAGAGTTATTTCACGGAAGTACTGCCACTTTACCTGTTTGTGCCGCCAAGCAGTAATGTGAGCTTTACTGCGTATTGGTTTTGAAAGGTATAATTGCAGGTGAAATTACAGGCACTTGTCAACTCGTGTTTCAGGGTCATGGGTGCAGAGTCAGTGCCCCTCAGATCTTTGTGATTTGAAGCTCTTAGTGGCACTGCAACAATTGCACCACTCGTTCGCCCCGTCACTTGGTATCATGAAAAAAATTAAAAAAGAAATTCTGCCCTCGTAACAAAAAAAGGCACAACTATGCGGACTTTATACAGCAGTTGTGCCATTTTTCATTCCGAGGGCAGAATTACTATTATCTGTTATGGGTAATTTTATGTCATTTTTAGTTTATTCTCTTCCATTGCACGCTCTGCCAGAAGTCTTCAGTAATTTAGGCCTGTAACCTATGTTATGTCACTGGTTTGTCTACTTTTAGCCTTCAGCTTGCTCTTTTGTCAAGTTGAGTAAGGACTATAAATGCCCAATTAATATACATTGTTTTAAAAAATATACTTAAAAATCAATACTAATTATCAGTACAATTTTTGATCTCATATCAGATGTACTATGATACTCCATCAACTAAATAGCTTATACTATGATATACTGGAAATTAATCTTTCTAGAAATGAGGATTTGCCATAAATGCTGAGCTTGGGATATGGCTTGGTCATATTTTTTACATAGTGCGGCAACTAATCCCCTGAATTTATCTTGCCCTCGCAAGAAAATAGTTATAGTAACTTAGTTCTTAGGTTTTTATGTATATATCACACATTGGTAATGAAATGGTTTCTTTGGATATACATTGTATATGTTTGTCTTTTTAAACAAACTGACATGTCAGGCCCTTTACAGGTCATGGTCACAGTGCTGTGTTTCAAAAATAAATATGTGTATGTAGTTCTGAAATATATATTTTTTTCAGAATGATACTAAATTTAGAACAATTTATTTTAAGTCTCAATTCTGGTTGATGAAACACTGCCTGCTGTTGTTCATTATTTATTTATGATTTTGACTGTGTGGGGTGCTAAAGTAAGAATGTAAAAATACCATTTGTTTCGGAAACAGCTTTTTTGCTGATTTGATGTAATATGCCTGAACAGAATAAAGGTGAACCAATGTTACTTTTCACATGCTATTAATTTAAACTTATGTCATTCTGGTAGTATGTGATGAACTCGGTGTATAGAAGCATCACATCATTATCAGGTTTTGTTTGTAATATTTTTTCCAGACTTGATTCAACCAGAATTCAGTTTAGGAAGGGCTTTAACTTGTTCATTTGTAATGAAGAAAGATATCATCAAGGAAGATATTATTAGGAATGTTAGCAAACAACATTTTGTTATGAGAAGAGATTTGACGTAAGTACCTTTACATTACTTTTTTCATACCAGGTGGTGCCATAGCATTCCAGCAAGTCATCTTATCTCATTATTAGCTTCTGTATTCAACTTTAAGAATTGTTCTCCACTATTTTTACCACTGATTTCACGCTTCCACTATAGGTTTCCAATATCATCAACTATAGGTCCAGTACTACAATGCCATAGTAATTAAATTCTGGACACGCTCAGAACAACTGGAACATAATTGCTTTAGAATTTCCAAAATCATTTCAACCAACAATGAACCTGAGACTCCAAACTCCGTATCTACTTTTTAGCGTTATGCACTTTACGTGTATGGTGGAGCAGAGTCATTTGGATAAATGTCCTTTTGCAGGGAGCCCTTGAGCCCAGCCATAATAACAGACCTATCCTACAATGGCACATTTATCAATGGAGAAAAAATCGGCAAAGGCAACAGCCGGGTCCTTGATGACAATGATGAAATTGCTGTCACTCACCCTGCAATGAAAAGTATTTTTTGTTTTCTTTCTTTTTTTGTTTTTCTTTTTTCATAATAAGGTATGTGAATTTTATTCAAATTTTCTTTAATATAAACTATTATTTTATAAATATTTAATAATGGTTTCTTATTTCAGTTTTCATATTCAAAGATTTGCTTAAAAATGAGCAAGACCAAGTGCCTAAGGAGATTTCAAGGAAATATTACATCTCTAGGACACTGGGACAAGGTGCTTGTGGAGTGGTGAAGCTTGTTTATAACAAGGTAACAATAGCTGTCATTGGCATTAATAATACAGTCAAGAGCACATCAAGCTTGACACTTAAGACTTAAATGCAACTCTATGCCGCTTACTATTGTTACTTACAAGTATTATGAGAATTCGTTAATGGCATTGGATTAGTCATATTTAAGTATACTATAATTGTATTATGTGTGAAACTTCCTAAAATGTATAAATAATTAAATTATTTCATATTCGAGTGTAATAAACCAAAATATATATTGCCACCGAAATTAGGTAGGGACACCTAACCTGAAAATTATGCCTATAATTTCGGATGAGATAATTACATCTATATTTGTCCCCCAGATAAAATGCACTAAACACGCAATGAAAATAATCAAGAAAAGTAGACTGACAAATGGGCAAGTAAACAATTTGAATGACCCTCAAAAAATTATGAACGAAGTCAATATTATGAAGAGTTTGAGACATGTAAGTATACTCTGTTGACAATGTCGACATAAAGATGATATAGGTACACTAGCTTTATAGATTTTTGTAAGTCTAATCTCAACATTTCAGACAAAAAATTTGGAATAATTGAGTTGTATAGATTTTTTTTTAAATATTCAGGTGTTAGATTAAGTTTAGAACTCTAATACCTTAATTTTCTGTTACCACAGCCATGCATAGTGGCAACTGAAGAAGTATATGACTCGCGCGAAGCAGTATTTTTAGTCCTCGAGCTGATGCAAGGCGGAGAGCTATTTGACCGTATTACCAAGCAGGGGAACTTGTCGGAGAGACTGACTCGGTTCTTATTCAGACAGATGGTGCTAGCCGTTAAATATTTACACTCTCAGGGTATCACACACAGAGACCTTAAAGTAAGTATGCTCGACGCTTTACAAATCAGCCTGTAATTATTTTCGTGGTTAGTTATATGACTATATATATATATATGTATATATAAAAGACAGCCCAATTTTACCTTATCCTTTTTAAGGCTGCTATAATTTTTTCATTGACATAAATCTAAAATTTCGTACACAGCTTATAAAACTATATTTTTCATATCCAATATTCATGTTTATAGTGGAAAAAAATCAACGCCTATGATATTATTGTATGCTATTATTATAAAAACGTATAATCCTGTTTATTCAGCCTGAGAATGTGCTACTGGAGGGTAAAGAAGATGAGACGATAGTAAAGATTACAGATTTCGGTCTGAGCAAGTTTGTAGGCGAACACACCTTCATGAAAACTATGTGTGGCACGCCACTATATCTCGCACCTGAAGTACTTAGAGCTAATGGACAACGATCCTATGGACCTGAAGTGGACGTTTGGAGTTTGGGAGTTATATTCTTTGTCTGGTAAGTTTTTTTTTTATATAATATCAAGTGACGGGACAAACAAATTGTGCACCTGATGGTATGCTACACGCCTGTCTAAAGTTGACAAGTCCCATGTGCCTGTAATTTCACCATCACCCGTAGTGCTGACATTACTGCTTGGCGGCAGACATAAGTAAAGTGGCAGTACTTCCCTGGACAAACTCTTTCACAAGGAGCTCAACTGATACCACACTAATCCAATCCCAACATTCTAGTCAATGTGGACTCATAAGATATCTGCAAAGGTTGCAGCCAGATTCTTGAAATTGGCTCAACAACCCAACAGGTGACATCACCACCAACATGAAAAAAGTTTTATTTGCGCCTTTGGATACTCGGATGTAGATTTCTACCATTTCAAGTAACACTACAAAGAAAAACCCTGGTTTTAAACTACTCCCTCTAAATTCCAATTTAAATTAAACAGAGAATTTCAAAGATACAATTTCACTTTAAAAATCAGCTGGCTTTCTATGCTTTCATAATTTGTGTTTTGTTTCATTTTTCTATGAAATATATTTTGTTTTCAGCCTTGTAGGGTACTTACCCTTTTCAACAGACTACAAGGATGCGTCTTTACGTGATCAGATCTTAAGCGGGCGATACAGGTTCTCCCAAGCGCATTGGCGCAATGTCAGCCTACACGGCAAAATTCTTATGAAAAGAATGCTCACGGTCAATGTGGTAAGGCGGATCACACTTGATGAAATACTTGATCATCCTTGGATGCAGGTAAGAGTTAAGTGGCTCAGAGCTGTGGGTACAGAATACAGAAAGGTTCTGAGATCGATCCCCCAATAAATTTATTTAGAACCAGTTAAGTTCAAATCTCAATTTAGTTGTATTTTATGTGTTCATTATGTCGGATCAAATTTCGTTTATCGTTTTTATTTCTTTTAATTATTGCTATTGAGACTATCTAGAAATCTTACAGTTTTAAAAAGGGACGCTATGCAGCAATGTTAATGTAAACTTATTTCAGGATGCAGAAGTAATTGAAAGGGTTGAGCATTTACTAATGCATAGCTATCAAACGCGACCGTTCGAGCAACTCACATTGAACTCTGAAGAGAATAATAATTCTGATGACGTCACAGTAATTAATAACGTGGCAAAGGCGAAACGCGCTCTGAGCAGTAGCTACAGCTCCTGTGAACCAATACCGAAGAAGCTTAGATATGCTCTGTACCCCGAAATAGAGAGTGATGAAAAGGAGGATACAAGCTCGGCTACTAGTATGACATATTCTCAAGACAGTACCTGATTAGATTTATTACTTACGCTTACCTGAACTACTATAGATATAAGACAAATACGAAGTAGCAGCTGACAGAATCTTTACCAGAATTTCAATGGGTGATTTTAGCAACATTTTACCTTTTAAAAACTCAATTGACCTTCAATGCAAACTTGCATCAGCAGTTTTTATTATTATTTAGTTTTAAGGGTTTTGCTATCCAAGCCTTAACATTCTGCTAAATATTTGTTTATTTTAGCTGGATAATTAGCCGCTTTGCGAATATCATGTCTCGTTTCTCATAGAGTGACAAGAAGTATACAGTACGCATATACGTATTTTTATCTACCTCTAATGGCTGTAGCTAAACAATTGTGAACCAAATTGTTAGCGTAAAATAGTTACTATGATAATTCATTCCAAATGCTGGGTCCAAAAATGACATATCTGTAGACCCTAGTTGCGATTAATCTCAGTTATTAACTCGTACTTAACAAATAATGTGCCATAAATATTGAGCATTTTAGTTTGTACTAATTTTTAATTATTACAATTTATTTCAATGATTCTTTATGGTTTTTTATTACTGTTTGAATTATAAAAATATAACGTTGATTATTTGTAATTGATAGTTTTGATTTGTTGATTGTGTTAGTTAATGTAAGGTTTAAAAAATTCGAACAGGAGTTAAAAATGACGAACACCTGGCACTGCAAACATTATGATCTTGATTTGTGATTTGAAGTTGTCAAGTAGCAGGGTGATATTTTTATTATATGTTTTTGTATAACTTTAGGTGATTGAATGACTGTTACACCTACCATTTTAAGTGTTTTGTGTTGGTACAAAAAAATATTGTAAGATTAATCATAATGATATTGAATGATTCCGCCTTTTTACCTCCGATTTAATTAACATCATGTTACTTTCGGCGATGACTTTAAACGTGTCATTTGTTTGCAAATAAAAATTATCTTAAAAAAAAGTCAAATAAAACAGCAATTATAAAAAATAAATTACTATTATTTTTCAATTCCATACAAATGGTATTTACACAAAACCCATGTTTACAGAAAATAAATCTAAACAAATATTAAATTAATTCAGTCTTTTCGATATTCCTACAGTTTAACCCTAGACAGCTATCTATATGAAACGATCAGTGGCGTCGGCAACGCCTACCCGAAAAAGGTAAACTGCACAAATATACACAACATCATTTATACAGGACAATACAAAGAATTTACATTTTCGAAACAAACCCAGAAATTACTTATTTATTGAAATAGAAATAAAGTTGGGATTGAAAATTACTTTTGGAATTAAGTTTTGAAGCCATCTATTATTGTAATTTATGTTACTCATAGCCAGTAATTACAAGAGAATTTAGGTACGTCTTAATTTGTTAGGTAACAACATGAATCTTAATGCTTATAATTCAATCGATCTCATACATACGACCATTGATGCTATATCGAAGATCGACTTGGTTTATAGTCGATTATTTTATTAGCTGGAGTAAAATGTCAATTTCTTGTGTTATCAGATCTTGATTAATAGAAATATGAGTTCTGGCTTCTTAACTCGCTAGTAGGTCCCCAATAAAATATCTATTTAATTAAAGGTACACACGCCAGCACATCAAGCTACACATTAACGTATCTTGTTACGTTGCCCTGGAGGCGATTTTAGCACAAAAATGTGTAGTCTGATGTGCCGTTGTCCGTACATAGATTTTAAGGTTTATTAGTCATCTTCAACTTGTGGTGTGCAGAAAGGAGCTTCCCACGTACCATTCCTTGTGCACCCTGTGCAACGATTGGCGACTACCTTACGTCGATCGGCAAATCCTTTTACCACGATGGCATGCATTATAGTGTACGCCATCAATACGATATTCAACTTCATAATATTGGAACGTTGCGAGAATGAGAACCTCCTTTTGTGCCAATGACAAGCAATAATAAAAGACAAAATACTAGAACAAGATAAGAACAAGTTACACAAAAAAAATCAAGCATGTGCAAGAAAAATGTAAAGTTTGTTTTTCCATATATACTCTACAGGTAAATTAGAAAGACAAAATTGACGAGATGAGATGGTCAACGATGATACTGGAATACTTCTTGCTAATTGGTTCAGTCATTTTTGTGACATCTAAACATCACTATGGACAATAGACACGACAATTCATTTTACAGTGACATTAAACAAGCAACAAAATCATACGATTTCTACTTCTTCTACTATACACCCTATTTACAGGTAGTATTAACTACATTGTCCCCTGCCATTGGAACTGTTTCATGGCAACAGTCATGTAATTATTCCTAATTTGTTCTTAGTGGACTGCATCAGTCTTTCTCAGCAGCTCTCACAGATCAAATCCGCTAAAATAAAGATCTATGGAGTTTATTTCGTAGCACTATGCTCCAGACACGTCTTCAGCGGAGCTGTGTGTAGGTTCCGCAACTTGAGCCTCGGCTTCTGCAAAGACAATACAATATTACTTAATATAAATGGTAAAATCACAGCGATCCGGAAGTGTTCGGTGTCAACCAGATCATGGGATAAAGTTGGTATTTTTAATAGGTCCTAGTAGTGAAGGGGTACGGACACGATAGTTTTTTTTTATCTCGTATAGAGATATAAAATTCCATATTATTATACACCCCAACGTCTACGTTGCATGTTAGGTGGTTGGAAATATTAAGGTGGAAATAAGAGTTGCGACTACAGCCTATGAAACGGTACTCATAAGGCCCGACACCCACTGACGGGACAGCACGGGAGATTTTTAGGTGAGAAATAGAAATATACCTTAATATTATGAAAATATAGTTGAAATTTCAATGATAATGGTCGTAGCTACGAAAACAAAGCTGCGGCAAGCTTAGGGATACCGAGTCAGCAGTCTCCGGAATACCTCTGCAGCCTTCGGTATGCTTCGGCAGGTTATTACGTGTAATGTTATGACCATGGAGCGAATATCGAAATCGATATCCAGTCGTTTTGTTACCAAACCTTGTAAGTCATAGACTTTCTGCAGAGGTTGTCATTTTGCGATCTATCATTTTTAGATATAGTCATTATGATACCGACCCCAATAACTCAAGACCGGCAGGTATCGCGATACAAGACAGCGTAGCCAGGCATTTAGTACCTATTGGTACTCGAGATGTCGTGTCGAGTGCCAAAATAGCCAATGATATTATACTTGTAAACAAAATGGCTATTTATAATTTATATTACACTGACAAGCTGCAATTTATCAAAGCTACCTCTATTCTAGTGACAACAAACAAATTAACTAGATGGCGCTTATGGCACAGACTTGTGGATAGTGCTGGCTATTCTTTTATTGTGTTTAGGATTAGCGCCATCTACCCATATTAGGAAGTGTTAATTTATAAAATAGTTTGTAAGACAGAAAAAACTGACTCTTATAGTTCATATTAAAGAGGAATTAATTGATAATATAAACTACTTCCAGGCTATTGATCAGCGCTATCTAGATATAGGACGGAATTTTGACCTTTTGTCAAGAGTTACGATCTCTTGTATGGAGATTAAGAGTCCTTTTGAGTCATTGATCCATACGACTGATCTGAGTAGAGGCTAGACGCGAGCGCAATGTTGCGACGGTATGCTTCGGCATGCCTAAGGATACCGCTGCATATTTGCCAACAGTGTGCGCTCACAAGTAGGGATGACGAAGGATCCCTTGCCATACTGTCCCGCCAATGGGCGCCGCCTACCTAACTCTCCTTGCGGTGATACTACTCACACGGGCTATAATCGTGACTCTTCAAGCGAAGTTTTCACAGTTAGTATAAAATAACAACAACGGATACATTTTAGATTTGAGCCATGCCCGTGCACAATAAGCGATAATGAGCTAGGCGACTCACCTAGAGCTAAACTACTTTTGCAGTAACTGAAACAATGTGAAAGGAACGTGCAATAACAACTACAGTTTAAATAGTCACAAAATAGTAGGTACATATAAAACGGTACGAAAAGTATTATCAGAAACGATTAAAAGGAGCCATTATAAACACACATGGTAAGTTAACATTAAATTATATATTATAACATTAAATTATGTTCTCTCTTTATCTAACCCGTATACAAGGCAACAAGAAAGAAAAATGTTTGTTATAAATGGCGCGAACAAAGTACATAAAATAACAAAAGAAGGTGAATGTACCTGCGATAGCTCGATCGACCTTGAGTTTATCTCTAACTATGTAGACAGCGGACAGGAAGAAGAATACCGCGCCGATAATTTCCACGAAGCAAGTGACAAAGAGCGCATACTGAAGCGAGCGGAACTGAACGCTTGCTGTAGGTTGTTCGTTGTGGTTGGTTGACAATGCTTTTTTCAAGGCTTCAGATATCTGAAAAGAATAGGTTTAGTTTTTATTTCACGATTCTACTTGGAATCCACACGGTACAATAGAGTGTATATAGGTAGATTAAGCAAAAAATACTAGCGACTTATTTCTCTAATTAAGTTATTGCTTCCAAAACATACCACACCAATTAAATAAGGACTTCCAGCATCCCCGAACATGTGAGATAGTAAAATCTGGAACGCTTCTGCCGTCGATCTTCTCGGTGGAATCACCACGTACTGCATAACGAAACAGAGGTTATAATCGGAATTTTGAATTTGGCGCCTTTATTTACATACGCCATCTATATTTCTACCTATGCAATTCTACAAATCTTAGCAACCCCTCATATAAAGCTAACTACGTTATACATGCAAACGCCAATAGATGTCGCTTTATTAAAAGACAATGAAATCAGTCCACCTTGCCCAGTGTTACAATAAAATATTCCAATGAGAATGACTAATTTAAGTGACGTTTCTGTACATCACTTTTCTATTTTTACGACTGCAGGATTTTTATTTTGATCGAGATGCTCACTTCTTCTCAAAAATGAATTTTTATCAAAAACGTGAACGTAAAAACCCTGCTTTCGAATTTATATTCAATTTCACAACTAGGCAGCAAGTGAACCGATGTGCTATGCTAATGTGAGATCTGATTCAAATGTACATGTAATTAAAGCACAATTATAAGCTGATTTATGAAAAATACATACTTCTAAGTCAATTATAATAACCTAACCAAAACCAATCATGCATTTTTACCAAAGTTACTAGGCAAGGTCACTGTAACATCCGTTTTAACATCGTACGTTGCCAAGCAAACTTTGTTGATTTACTTCAAAATAATCATAAGAAGCTACAAAAAATCAATATAAAAATCTTCCTGGCTATCACTTCGAACCGCCATTGACATTGAACCAGAACAAAAAAAATCAAGGTCAAGTGCGAGCCGGAAGCGAGTCAAGGTGTCTCTTACCAGCGACATATCGGCCACTAGTGCCCAGTTGAGATTCAAAGCGAGCTCGGCAACGAATATGAAGGTGAATGTGACGTAGGAATTGTATTCTGCGAGCAGCATGGCCAGGCACATGGCGGGCGCGGACACAAGTAGCCCGGTGCCGCAGATGATTGGATGCGCACGCGGGAACCGCTTGATGAGCTTCGTGCCCAGTATCGCGCCCAGCGGAACGCCAACCAGCCCCGATATCATTGTGATCACGCCGAAGACAAGCGACACCCTTAGTGTAATATCATCACGTCAACTACATGCATTTCATTCGGCACATTACGCATAGGTATTGTAATGTTCTAAATAGTGTTTCAATCAAATAAATGTATGGCTTTAGTCATTAAAATTGTACAGTGGCTTGACGAATTGCACCTTCCATATTTTTATATATTACTAGTGTTGATAAAATATTTGTAGCATCGTCGCATTTGAGGAAAGCCATACTCAACGTTTAGAGAATTTACATTGAAAGGGTACTCGTAAGTTCTTTTGTTTGTTATTATTTATTCTGTTGAATTATAATTACGACATCACAAATGTAAAATCTCCAAAAACAAGACTTTTTTAATAAACATGCTTTGCTTTGCAATGGGATGCAATGACAAAAATGTTAGTTGCTGTGTAACGAATTATGGAAGCTGTGATGTCTGCAAATATTATTATAATTTAAAAGCATCATATTATACATCAGCACGATTCATGAACGATGAAAGAAAAGCATCGAGTTCGTCGTATCTCATTGGAATATTTTGTAAAATAATCTGAACCAGTTGGACGATTTCTGCTTTAGTTGCTTGCATTTCGAAAACGACACAAGTGAGTCGCAACCGAGAACGCAAGTAGGATAAAGACAGAAAACGCTCACCAGTATAATGTCGGCGACAATCGACCACGTTAAGTTGACGGTGAGCATGCCCAAGAATATGAGGACGTAGGTGAGGACCACGTGGACGTTGATGGCAGAGAGGGCGAAGAAGACGAGGGGGGCGGAGGCGAGCAGCGCGAAGCCGCAGATGAGGGGGTCGGCGTCAGGCACGCGCGCGCGCAGTCGCTGCGCCAGGGCCGACCCCAGCGGCACGCCGAGCGCGCCGGCGAACATGCCCACCAGGCCGAACTTGTACGACACGCTGTATCACCAGCCAACATTACATAATACAATACACCGGTAGCACCAGTGTGAAGTATATAATTATGTACTTCATTTGGTTCGACTTGTTTAAGAACTTTCACTGTACGTAAGTTGCCACAAGCCTAAAGTAGCATTAGGCGACTTTAAAGCAGTTATATTATACGTATTACAAAATATATGCATGTAAACACAGCAGCCAAGTACATCAATTGTACTGTTACTATCACGTTTTGTTAAAATTTTTGTGGCTTTCCTCTCACGCTTCCCTTTTAAAGTAACTGTGACGAAGTCTCAACAAATAGGGGGTATTTTCAGTTGCATTAGAGATTTAGTAAATCGGCATATTCATTTGTATATTCTGGATTTACGAGAGGAATTAATCTTTACCTACCTCCTTATTTTGTGAAATTAATGTGTTAGTATTCATGGACGGGCTTTATTTAGGCACTACTATCATACGGAGTCTAGTTTTGATACTGACCTTCCGATAGTAATATTCGAGTTTGGCCCTAATGTAAGGCCGAGGTAGATGAACTGAGGTCCCCACCACGCTAGAGCTCCAGTCACAAAGGCCACACACGTAAACGCAAGAGTTGACAGCATGAACGATGGACTGAAATTATATAATTAATATCAAGAATCATCCAAAACATATATAACAATTTAACAAATATTATAACTTCCCATCGTTACATAAATACACACATCAAAAACGTCTAGGGAACAAGTAATTCGTTTTTAATTTGATTATGATTACCCTATTAAAATTAAATAAAAATATCTATAGAAATTTATTAAATTATTTATTTATTAAATAATGCAACTGACTTAAAAACCAATGGTGTTAAAAAAATTAATTAAAAAGATCTGATTTTCCGTAATTGGCAAAAACGTGCTTGATCCCTAGACAGTTTTCATGAGTACAGTCAAGAGCACGTCAAGCTCGACACTTTGTACTTTGGACCGTTCCTATCGTAAGCGGCATAGAGTTGGATTTAAATCATAAGTGGTCAAGCTTGACCCTGTACAAATCTATAAACGCAATTGTATTAAATTCCATTTATGAGCTACGAGGTACATACATATGTATGTAGTATTTGTGTAATTTATTGTCACCGTTTTATGCAGTTAGGGCCACAAATATCACAAAATAAATAATTGTTTATTCACGTATTCAATCAAAGTAAGTTAACAACTTATTGAGAACAAAAATAAAGTAATTATTTATAGGATAATTTCTCCGAGATTATAATAAAAATATATGAGATCGAAGTTTATCATAAAATGCATAGCAAAACATTAGGTATTTATTAAAGTAAATATTTGTAATATACATTATCTTCATATTGTTATTAATTATTGAGATAATGACGACGAATGCCTGTCTGTTGAGATTATTAAAAATAGCATTGGTATCTTGGATTTACGTACTTAATCATAAATTGTTTAGTCTATTTAAAAGAAGCTTAATATTTATTTAGAACACTAATATTTTTGTCAGCTGCCTGGGGTCGCTCCTTCTGCAACCACCTGTTCGAAGGCAATATTTCAGGCGCTACCTCCTTTCAAATGTGAATGTTTCCTGTGGCAGTTTAAGAAGTCGCAAGCTTTAGAGTGGAAGTTTCTGCTTGTGTTTCAGTGTTTTTTGTGGGTTATGCAATATTTAACTTCATTAATATTTCATGGCTATCGTTATTTCAATGATTATTTGTGTTAGTTTAGTTCGTGGTTAAATATGTAAAGCCCCTGAAATGTACATGGAAGATTCATGTATCGCACTGCTTATTACAATAGTGTTGTAACTCAATATACGTGAAAATCAAGGTTATACTGGTGTTGAGCACAAAATTTGATTCTCTACAGGTGAATAAAACCGTCGTTAGAATATTGTAAAAAACAATAAAAAAAATGTCTACTAAGTCAAAATGAGACTTTTGTGAGCTGGTTCTGGACAAAACAGTCCTGACCCAAAAATATGCAATTATTGTTTCAATTTAATTTTTAAATATAGTTTTTTTAATTGTTTAGATGTCTGTAATAAACTTCAACATGTACATAAATTTTAATAATCTTTCACCGGAAGTGAGCAATTAGTTTTTTATCGATTCTGAAAAAATACAGTCTCTGAGTTAATTAATACCCTATTGTGTTGACAATGCGATATGTATAGTAATCCTACATGACTAATATATAATTGTGAAAAAAAATCGTAAATGAAAATAGCATCCAAATATATAATAATTACATACTTTAGTATCATTTAAAGTAATATTGGTAAGTAATATGGGCTATTATATATATTATATACTTTAGTAGAATACCAGCGAGGGATATATGTGGATAGTTAAATAATGCACACACTCAACATAGCCCCGCACTAGGGAAACCCTGTGTCGCGGGTGCCATGGACACACACATAGACAACCACAAATTACACCCAAACTCACGAGAGATATAATTGTAGGCCATACAACTATTTCTCTCGGCCCGGGAATCGAACCTGGGACCTCTGCGTGGCAGTCCGGCATTGCCTGGTACTGTGTCATAGAAACCCTTTTGGAAAGCTATATTAACTTAATATATTTTTGTCTATTATTATATTACTTCCTATAATTGTTTGTTGTTCATGTGGTTTTGCTAGACATATAAAGCCAATTTTTTTGTTAAAAGCAACCAGACCACCTCGACGAAAATTACCTATTATAGAGTTGAATTTAGATCTTGAGAGTAAAGGCGCACCGCATACTGTTTACAAGTTTTGTGATCGGTGAAAGTAAATGCGTGTTTGAAAGAAAACTCATACTCACGTTCGAACAAGCGATTCCAAGTCTTGACGATAGGATGTCGGTTTCATATGGCTCTCTTCCGCGGCGCCGCGCGGTGGGTCTTCCATCAAGAATAAAATCAGTGCCACGGCAACCGCGCCTAATACTGGCGTCACACGAAGTGCCCAACGCCAGTCGTTAGCTGCTGCGTTAGCCAACGCGCCCACTATATATCCCAGACCACTGTAATTGGACACATTAACATTATAAGCTTGGCTCAATTCTCTTACTCGTTTATCTGGCAAAAAGGTGTTTACAAAATTGAATTACACAAATGCGAGACCACTCAATGATCATGATGAGGTCTCGGACCGTCAAGAGCATTTATTAAGCCTGATAATTTGGATTTTGAATTGTTCATATCGAAAGCGGTGTAGAATTAAATTTAAAACTTTACGTGCTCTGACTCTATACAAACAAGGACTGTAGTAAAATAAACGTTTCTTTTCTATATTTATTTAACCCTCTATGTTTCTGAGGTCTGTACTAATTTCAGGCAACAAGTTTATGTGGCGTGCCTGAAATAATTTGAACATTCCATGTAATACTTTTGATCTGGATCTTTTCAAGTGATTTCAGCAAGGAGAGCACTGAGTGAGCACTTCTTTGACTCATAGTCAGGCTTGCAACAGCTGCGTACTTTTTATATTTTATGTAATTAGTTCTTAAATTGTGCACATAGGTTCCTTTTTGTATTTCCCTGCTCTCGGGTTGTTATTATTATTATTTTTTTCTAACTGTTGATCTTTCTTTTAGATAAAAAAAATATTTTACATAAAAGCCATCACTTTGTTTCAATTGGAAACCGTAATAGCAGATAATCAAGGTTTTTATTTGACACCAAAAATCGCTCTTCGTAATCGCAGAAAGTCTAATCGTGTTGATAGTGGGGTTAATTGACAACACGTCGTAAACGCACAAGTCAAGGATCTGCGAGGCGTATGGGCTATATGAGTTAATACGAGTTAAGTCGTAAACTGTCTGAGATGGCATTTTAAACCACGAAATTCCAACAGTAAACACATTTTTTACTATTGTCAAGTAATCTATTATCTGCAAAATTACATGCGCTTCAAGCACACAAGAGTCAAATTGCTATAGCATTCTTTAAATAATATTTGATATAAAAAAAACCAAGGTCTCGGAATTACTCTCCATTTATTTAGCTTTACATCCTCTTTTTTGCAATCCAATTATAATAGCACTTCACCTTTGAAACAACCTTTTGTACCTACTTATTGTTTATTTACTTTTGACAATTGAACCGTAAGCGTGAAGTGTAAATCAGCTAAGTCAATCAATCAAGAACTTATACCAAGCTAGAGTTAAAATGACCTCTAAGAATAAGTAACCATGTTGAAAGCACAATCGATTAAACAAGCGATAGGGAATGCATGCAATGCAATACCAATCACTTTACTTATCAGTTTTATCTTTGATAAGAAGAAAGGTGTGCTATAAATTTATAGAAAACAGTTTTTTTAAACCATTTTTAGATATAGAATTCTTATACCATATGCCAGGTATTCAAACGTAACTGTACCATGAAGAAGGAAAAGGATTTTGGCCTCTGTTATACAGCTTTACCAGGTGTATTTAGTGAAAATATTCGTACCTGCCGACGGGTATAGCGAAGTAGAACAACGCGAGCATCTTAGATCGGACATTGCCAACGAACAAATCGCTGATGATGGTGGGTGCGATGGTGGAATAAGATGCCTCGCCTATACCAACAAGCCCTCGGAAAAATGCGAACCATCCGAAGCTCTGAAAAAAGAGATCAGTTAAACCTTGCTACTTTCACCGAAGGATTTATTAATACGCAGGTATTGCCTGCATTTAAGAACATGTTTTGGAAGTTCTTTTTTGGTTAAACGGAGACACGTGATTCTACAGATATCTAAAAATGGAGTTTCACAAGTTGACATTGTTACGACTGCGTCCCTGCCTATCCGCTTAATTCATCAACACAATTTAAAAAGTCATTGTTTGCCTAGCTAGATGTGTGATTATATGTATATGAGACTATAATTAACACATGACGAAGTCGGAGTCACAAAATCTTCATTTCATAGGTAAGCAAATTACACTTGAAATCCTTGATTAAACTTTTTTCGTAATTTTCGTTTAACGTAATTCGTAAGGCAGATCCCCCTGAGAAGAAAGAGCACAAAGGCTAGGGGTTACTTTTGTAAATAAACATTTGTACACATTAATCCTTTACAACATTCATTTAAAAAAACGGGTCACTACCACGGATTTTTGTCTTCCAAGTACGCAAAAACTGTACCTTAGAATGAAGTTTTTGTTCCACTATGTTTTGCACCTCATGAATGTCAAAATTTGAACATCAAAATCAAAAATCAAAAAGTGTTTATTCAAAATACAGTCGACATAAACTACAAACTGAGGTTGGGACCAACCTATTAAGAAATTAAATACTTGTGTCAGGTGGTCCCGCTCTTCCTTAACGCAGATATACTTTTTATAAAACTCAATTGAAACAAAGACAAAAAATTAAATTTAAAGTAACAAGAATAGTTAAAATCTAGGCATGACTAAAATGAGT